ATAATAACTTACCTATAGGACCCTAACTAATTAAAGTAACGGTTATATATTAAACAGAGGTTAAAAGTAGCCTTCGTAGAGTCTTTTATAATAGGAAGTAAAGTTTATTATAAAGGAAGAATATTTATTAACCCCAACGATATTGCGATTTATTTATAATTAATTTATTGCGCTTATTCTTCGCTAATAGTAGGATACTTTAGTAGGGATAAAATTTAGGTATAAATAAACAAATATTAATATTAGTTAGTATAGTAAAAGCCGTTAGGGTTTATTGTAAAGGATACCTTGCTTATTCGAAGACGAAGGTATTACGATAAATTAAAATTAATTATTTAAAGTTAATATTAGCCGCCTTCGTACTTTGATATAATATTAATATCGACTACCTTTTACCCCTCTTAGAGAATTTTTATTTAGGCTAGAGGTTTAAATATATTTTTATTATAGCAGATCGCGTTATTAAAATATAATATTATATCGCTATTAAAACTATGGAAGTAGAGGACTTTACCGATTGTTTTATCGACTATATATATATTCTCTATAACCTTCTCGATACTATAATATTAAATAAAGGCTCCTAATTTATATTAATATTCTAGGCTACAATTTATAAAAGGCTAGCTATAAAGAGACTATTAAATTCTACTTTCTACTCCTAAACGAATATTTAAATAGAGTGTATTAATATAGTAACAGAATAATATTTACAAATATTTATAAATTAAGTATAAACGGATTAGGTTCGTTAATTCCCTTTAATAGAATTTATAAGTAATAATATAATATTAAAGATTATAAGAGTAACGTTGTTCTTTATTAATTACGGTTTCCACCCTCGGATAGGTATTAAACTATTTTTAATTATAATATTACAGTTATCCCTAATTTTAATAGAAGGAATACCTGAAAGCTAACGAGCTATTAGTCCGCTTCGAAGCCATTTAGGACTATATTCAAATTTTAATTAAGAAGGTATAAAACTGCTATAAATTTAATATTAACGAAAAACGTTCGGATATACTTAAATACTGAATTAGAAACTTAATTATATTAAACATAATTAATCTCGCTAACGGCCGCCTTTATAATAAATTGTATTTTTAGCGGAAAGGCCCCTTCAAAATCAATTAAGTTAAATTATATAATATTAAATTAATATTACTTAATAATATAAAGTATTTATTAATATTTTATATATTAATAGTCAAACCTTTTAAAGAAGGCTTACCCGGTTAGGCCGATATATAGAAGGATGTAAGAGTTAACGAAGGTTGGATAATAACGAGAACCGATAATTACGAAGAGGTTGCTAAATAGGAATTCGATGAGCTTTTAGTATACTAATAGAATGGAGGTAATTATTATTAGTTCTATATAATTATATAGACTTATGATAATCTAACTGAAGGACTATTAGCTAATATAATTAATACGAAGGAGGCTATTAAAACCTTCTATAATAATTAATTTAATATATTAATCTTACCCGAAGTAAAATAGTAGTTAAAAATTTAAGCTATATTATAAGAGAGGGCGCTATCCACTCTAATACTCCGCCTTATTATTACCGTCACTCTAGTACCCTAGCTACCGGCCTTAGTACTATAACCCGCCCTAGTACCTATAATACCTACGGTATCGAAACGCTTTAGGCGTATCATAGATTTGAAGGAGTAGATTAATTCGATTGCGGAGAGTATTACGACCAGTCTACCGATTAGCTAATTAGTAAGGGAGGACCCCGGCGAATTAATAGAAGGATTATTAGTAGAGGATATAAGAAAGATAAATAATATTTTTAAATAGATTTTTAATAAATTATTAGAGATATATTAGAAGAGGAGGCTCCTTACGAGGAATGTAGTAAATAAATTAGAAGTAGGGATATATTAGTAGGGAAACGATGATTAGGGATTGGGTAAAATTAGGGATATAAGGAGAGTCTGGAGATTACGAGCGGAGGAGTTTGAATTACGGGTAGAGGAGTTGGAGGATAGGGATTGAGAGATAATTTATTATTTTATATATATATATATTTTGAAATTTTAGAATTTCTTTTGTAAGGAAGTAGTATTATAGGATTATTTGTAATTGCTTTGTATATGCACGGCTCCCGCTATAGGCAATCGAGCCTCGTACTATATTATTACTACCATTGGCCAATGGTACGTTACGTATATATATACGTGTTTTGGTCCCAGCTTTAGGCATAACCTTCGTACCCTACCCTATATCGCCAGACTTGTGCACACCTCTCTTCTTCTCTCCTCGTATAATTACGTATATCCAACCTACCTCCTAACTGCCGCCTTGCCCCGTGATAATTAATACGCCTTATACTTTTTATTATTGTATTTATAATAGATTTTATTAGAGTAAATAAATATTAAATATCCGATTTAACTATATGTAAAATAAGTACCCCTCGCCTTCTCCTCCCGGTATTAGCTGTAAATATAATTGCTTTAATAGTAATTACTATAAATAATAATCGATTATATCGATATAAAATTCAAAATAGGCAGGATAGGCAGGATATTAAAAGAAATAAAATTAGGGATAGGAATAGGATTAGGGGATAATAATTAGGAGCGAAGTATTTAAGGATAACGGGATTACTATTATTATTATATGAAGAATTAACTTTTAAATCCCTAGATTCTCTTTATATATATTATAACTTTTTATAATATATTAATATTATAAGCCGATAGGATTCTTTGGTTAAAGTAAAGTTATAATTGGTTTATTTATTACGAAATATATTAAAATTCTGGTTAGGTATACGATAAGTTGACTTCTTTAGTACGGAATTATTAATAGAATTTGTATATAATCTTAGTCGGACTTTATTATATATTTTCGAAATTGGATAAAGTAGTACGTTTATTAGCTTAGGTATCGCTATTATATTTTCGTTCGAAGAATAAGGGAAGTTCTTTTTGAGTAGGGTCGTTACGAATATAGTTGTAATTAGGTTACTATATAATATATTAACGATAATTAATTTAGGAGTTCTTAGGATTTCCTTCGAAGTAAAATTTGGCGAAGTAGACGTATAATTATTCGTTAACGTCCGAATCTAATTTAAAGAAAATATTTTCTATATTATAGAGGAATTCCTTTAAGCGAGCTAAATTTTTACTTTTATAGGAAGGGCCGTTAATTTTAAAGCAATTAAATAAGGAGGACGAAGATTTGTTAGAAGGCGCCGGTTAAGTAGAAATAGGAGAGAATAGTTATATAATTTGGGGGGTAACGGGGATAATGTTAGTACGGGGTTAATTATTAAAAAATTAATTTTAATAAAGAAAATTATAAAGAATAAGGAATAATTACCGAATTAATTATAAGTAGAGAATTCTATAAAATTATTTTATTGTTAAAGAGAAAGGTATAAGGGGAGGGTAAATATAAGGAATTTAATAGTTTTAATACGAGATTTATAATAGGTTTCTTTAAATTTTATTTGAAAGTTTTTAAAAAGGGGGTTATAATATATACGGGAGGGGTAGGAATACTAATTATCGTTAGAGCTGTCGTTATTTACTTTTTTAATAGACGGTTAGTAATATTAAAATGAGAGGAGAGGTAAATAAATAGTATTAAATTCTATAGCTATATAAATAGTAGGTACGTTAGAAGGAAGTTCTTTTTACGGAGGTTATTTTAAGGGAGTATTATTAATAGCCTAAGAGACGGAATATCTGTTATATATTTATATCCTATTAGTAATAGTTTAATTCTCGGAGGGTAGAGATATTAATATATTAGAGCTAGTAGAAGAAGGTAGGTTAAGGTATTTACGGACGGAGTATTTATATAGGGAGCGATTGCGAATTAGGGGTATAATAAAGGGTACTTTAATATTTAAACTGTTCTTTTAAAGGAAGAAGCTTTGATAGCTATTTATTTATATATTAAGACCCGTTTTGTAGTGACGTAGCCCGCAAGATCTCTGAGCCGTTCCGACGCTATACAATGCTAATGCTTAGCGTTCCTATTGGAGCTCGTTGGAATCCTTCGGTTTAAGTGCCTGCCGGTACGGTGTCAGCCCTTTTAGAGCCTAATATATAGTAGTAAATGGAGGTTGAAATGTAGTTTCGTTGAAGGTTATTACGTAACGAAAAAAGATGGATTTCTAGGAGATTCTAGTTTATTTTCAGACCTCTAAAGGATAGAAACTAAATTAGAGTATTTATAGTCGCTTATACACATATAATTAGCCATTTGGGTAATATAGGTCAGAAAATTTACTAGAACGGTTTTTACAGTAATTTATTAGCAAATCAATTATTAGTCATATCGTACACAACCTAGAAAGAACGGCTAATAACATTTACTAGAGGCACTTATTACTGCATCAGACACGCCCTTATATAGTCGTGTAAGTTAAGATTGCTTATAGTAGGTATATAAAAACACAGATATATATTAATTTGCTAATAAATTGTATAGTTGGCCATGTACCTGGATTTTTTCGCGAATTTATTCACTTTCGCGAATCCATGCACCAGACCCATTGCTGCGCAATGGGTCTGAGAGGCGTTTCTAGCCCTGACGAGTAGCCTTATTCAGGACTTAGGGAGTGACCGAGTGAAGCGGCCAACGCACTCTGATGACATGGTCAAAGCTTTTCCAATTCCACGGTAATTGGCATTTGGGAATGATGACCGACTTTGACGTAAGCTATTGCGCTAACCTCATCAGGAAAGGCGCGTCTTTGTGCTTCCCTTCGAGCCCCACCACAGCTCTCTGCTGTTTCCAGCTTTGTAATCATTCGTCGTCGAGGGGCATCATTTCAGTTGTTTTTGCAAAGTGACTGCGACAGTGTGGATGGGCGCATTGTCGAGTCCATGTCCAAGAGATCAGTGGCGGGAAGCGAATGAGCAAGCAATTGGAGAGAACTGACCGATCTGGCATGGGCGGAAGTTTCGTGATAGTTCTATATGATATTGGGCAATTCCAGATCCTTTTCCTGGTTACCTACTGACTACTCTTCTCACCGTGATTTCCAGTTGCTTACGTTGACCTTGATAATCTCTTAGACCATCGTTTTGTGAGCAACCAAGTCATAAGTGGACGCAAAGTTTTAAAGTCGAAGAGCCAGACCCAGCATATGGATTCGATCCTATAAGTATCCTCCTTACTTCCAACTCCTAGGTCATGAAGAACTTCTTTCTTGTCACTATCATCTCCATCTTTGTTGGAATCTGTTCCATCTTCCTACTGCGCATCGACCTCCTTCTACAAGTCACAGACCTCAATACACTCACAAACCAACTACTCAACTACACCAAAACCAACATCATCAACACCTACTTCGCAACTCAACAACCCTCAGATATCTCTACATCAAACCCAACCACAACAATTATCACAACCCCAACCGCAAACATGTCCGTCCCCCGCCTAATCCGCAAAATCTTCCTCGCCACCGAACAGGCGGAAGGCGCCGGCGCCCGCGTCCGCCGCTCCATCGGCACCCCCCAGCTCCGGAACTTCTCCCCCTTCCTCATGCTCGACCACTTCTCCATCCGTCCCGGCTCCGGCTTCCCGGACCATCCTCACCGTGGTCAAGAAACCATCACCTACCTCTTACAGGGAGGCGTCGACCACGAGGACTTCGCCGGCAACAAGGGCACCATTGAGGCTGGCGACCTGCAATTCATGACGGCCGGAAAGGGGATCATGCACGCGGAGATGCCGCGCCAAAACCCGGATGGGAGCGCGAACGTGGGACTGCAGCTTTGGGTGGACTTGCCCAAGGAGCTGAAATCGTGTGAGCCGCGGTATAGGGATCTGAAGGCTGAGGAGGTTCCCACGGTGGAGGCTGATGAGGGGCGGGTGAAGATCAAGGTGATCAGTGGCAAAAGTCATGGGGTGGATAGTGTCAAGAATCTGGCGTATACGCCCGTGTGGATTTTGGATGTGGAGGTGAAGCCGGGCGGCAAAGTGGTGCAGGAGGTGCCGGAGGGGTGGAATGCTTTTGCTTATACTTTGGAGGGTACCACCATCTTCGGTTCTGGGAAGGAAGGAGGAGAAAAGAGGACGGTGGAGCAATACCATAATGTGGTGTTTGAACCGCAGGGTGAGGCAGTTTATGCGGAGGTGGATGCGGGCGCGGAGAAGAGCGCAAGGTTTGTGCTGGTTGCGGGAACACCGCTCGATCAGAAGGTGGTGCAGTATGGCCCGTTTGTGCTGAATAGTCAGGAGGAGGTGTATCAGGCTTTTGAGGATTATAGGACGCATTCCAATGGGTTTGAGAAGGCGCTGGGGTGGCAGAGCGAGATTGGAAAGTCGATGAGGCATTGAGGGGGGAAAACGGGGAGTTGAGAGACCAGTTTGTTTTTCGTTTGTTATAGAGATGGGTCTTGAAGAGTAGGGTTAGCTGGGAAGAATAGGTTATGATGCGTTTTCTGACCTTTGTTTGGTCTAGTTGCTGTGATGCTATATCCGAGGTGTTCGACGAGGTTCATACTCTAAATGTTAACGACTTCGACGAGGCTCTAAATGGGAACATCGAGCTTGGCCACAACATAGCCACTCGAGACCGGTCCTTCACCGTTCCCGGCAGGGAAACCGGTCGGCGGGGGACAGCCGCCGGCGGACAAAACCTGCCGCTCCGTTCCCTGACTGCCCGCAGGCAGCCAGCTCCCAAGTTTCCAATCGTAGCGGTTCTCACCCACCGCCTCGATGAACAAACGCTGACAACACTGAACATGGCCATGGCCTCCGCTCCTCTCATCCCTACTCTCCTTCCGTGCCTTCCAACACCACCAACTTCCACCGCCATCCCGTTATACTATCGCCGCCTCTCCTCCCATCTTCCACCGCTCATTGTCAACCCATACCATCCCTTCTTGGCTCGTCTGGAAGCTTCCTGAATGACGAGGCCGACAAATCTCAATAGTTATCCAAAAAGTTGACGCACAAACAACTTTATTGTAAATGTAAATAGGTATCCCAAACCAAGCCAAGCCATGCTCAACCGAGCAACCCAAATTCGTTCGTATGCAGCCGAATGCAATCCCTCCACCGCCTGCTTTCTCTTGTTCTATTTCATATCGTATGTTCTTCCGCCCACCATTTTGGGCGTGGTGTTGCCCCCAATGTCTTCCCCATGCGTGTATCGTTCCCGTCTGCATCCCCTTACTCGTCCTTAACAGGCATGTCACGAACCTTGTTCCCATTTTTGTCGAATTCCACGCAGGAGTTGACCGCCTTGCCAGTCTTTTTGATTGTCTGGAGGATCTTTTGGTAGAGGAGAGGGGACTCGTCATCGGTGGTGACGTTGGCCTCGTGGATATCCTTTTCGATATCGAGGAGGACTGTGTAGGATTTGACCTGTGTTTCGTTTTCTGGTTATTGTCAGTTATGCATGCTTCTTTGGGATTGGGCGGCGGACCGGACAATTGGGTTATGTTTAGAAGGAGAGCTTGGGTGGACATGGACGAAGACAACAAACCTTCGAGTCTCTTGAGGACCTTGTTAACAGCGTTGGAGCAGCCGCCGCACATCATGCTGACGTCGAACTTGTAGGTGAAGGGGGCGCCTTCGACGGAGCCGGACATTTTGGCGGTTTAGTTTCGTTTGTTATTAAGGTTCAGGTGTAGGTAGTCGAAGATGTTCAGATAGCAGTTGTCAAGGTGCAAGTTGCGACGATGGTATGCGATGCGATGCGGGGCAGTTGTAGGTGTTCGCGGATCGCGGGAATGGGGGAGGGGACTCGGAGTTGGGAGGGGCAGCACTTTAAATGAGCTCCGCGACAGCAATGAGCCAAAACGGGAGAAGCGGAACTTGGAACTACCTCAGAAACGACTTCAGGGATATGTACGGGCAAAAAAAAGAGAACAGATTGCAATTAAAACGCAATCACCGATAGGGAAGGAAAGGAACAGAAACAGGAGCATTATTAATCTGCTCACTATATAACCTCGTGCTCACTGTCAGGCACGCCAGCCAGGTACCGCTACGCCGCTCTGTTCTCAGATGATCCCGCGATGGTGTCAGGGGCTCCGTGTCGACCGCAGATCTCCCAAGGAGGGATTCATGTGTGTGTGTGTGTTTGAATTTTACGTCTACTTCCGCCTCCCGAGGGGCATAAGACGTACTTAATAATAAAGTCTAGCGTATAAAAACCAGGCGCTTTAACGCCTCGGGCGCCCGTAGGCGCCCGCTACAACGTTTTTCTATAGGCATTTTTTCAACTACGTTTTTATAACCTTATAATCTAGTAAATAAGTAAATAAAGACCTAAAAAAATCCAAACGTCAAACGCGAACCCTCGTATATAAAAGGCGGAAATCCATATAGGAAAAAAGTTAAATAGCTACCCCTTAAATAAAATAAAAGAAAAGATAAAAAGAAAAATAAAAAAATATTAATCTACTTCTATTACTTCCCGTCCCTTTATACCAACCTCCTTACTCTATATCCTAACTATCCTCCTATCCAATTCGTCTATTACTACCTAAATTTTACGATCCGGGCCTACTTCTACGCCCCATTAATATAAAAAAGTAAAGAAATTATCGATAATACTATTAAATACTTAATATTATTATTAGAAAGGTTATTTCTGTAGTTTATAAAGGTAAATCTACAAAAAAAATCTAAATATTTATTTTAAGCGATAAATAATTATTAATTAATTCCTAATATAAACAATAAGGTATTACGCCTAGCCGCCTTATTAATTACCGGCCGAATACTATATATTTTATGGTAAAAGAAAGGGTAGACTAGGGTCTTCTACTTATTATAAGAATAAATAAATAGGGTATCCTCGTACTAAAAACGTTCGTAATAGTCCTTAAAGTCCCCGTACCTATTATAAGTAATAAAAAGGTAATAAAGTAACCGTTTATTTAATCCTATTAATTCGTTTATCGGAATAAATTAGGCTTTAAAGATATACCTTTAATAGGGTTCTAAATAATTAAAGGTCTACTAATCCTTAAAGGTTACTTTCGCTTCCTTCTTAGCGACCCTTTTAAAGTACGCTAAGGTCGCTATATCTTTTTTTATTAATTTGCTACCTTTTACCCTCGCTTTAATTATAGTATTAATAATTTCGTTATTAAAAATATCTTTATAGCCGGGAACCTATTTAATATTTACTTCCGCTATATATATATATTCCGTAAATTAAAAGTCTAGGAAAATAATTTGCAAAGACGGGGAAGGAATACCCTATAACCCTTTAATAATAGTTGTATTATTTAAATAAATTATAATATAAGAGAAAGGAAGGTTTTAAAAGAGTATAATAGTAGCGTAGAGTTTAACCCTAATTCCCTCCCCTTTTATATTAAAGATGTTTATTTATTCTAATTAATTATAACCCCGGGCAAATTCGATTTAACTTTGAAAAATAATATAATTAAAAATAATATATTTATTAAAGAGAAACTCCATCTGTACGTAGGAAAAACTCTATCTGCACGTAGATCCACTTTTTCCTGTATATATTGTCCTAACCCTGCCCTTCTCTAATTAATTATATATACCTTTGATACAAGAAACCTCTAGTTTCCTCTAGAACCTTATAGAGTAGTCTAGCTAGTTTTTGGAGGTCCGTGAATGCCAGGCTTAGGACAAAGGTTCTTGGAACCTTTATACCTAGCTTAGTACTTAAACTGGGCCTTGGGCTCTGGATTCCAGACCTTCCTCTTCTTCTTATCATCATCATTACTTAGAATACAACAGATACACTGGCTTCATCCCATGGCGCCCCGTATCCAGTATTCTTCGTAGATCCCCGTGTCAACCTTTTAATTCCGATAGCGCATTTCCAATACCGAACAGCGCATTCGCTCCCTAATATAGCTCCCGACAACGCTATTCGCTCGCGTGATAAAATATTCGCATTATATTTATATCGTATATTAATTACAATCGCTATCGTATATCATTCCCTTTCGTTAATCAATTTCTTCTATTATTTTGATCGCTCTAAAGGAAAATATATATTATTAAGTATTAAAATTACAAATATAATATTAGAGGCCGTATTAGGGAGTAAATACGCTATTAGAGGCCGTATTGGGGAACGAATATACTATTAGGAGCTATATCAGGGAGCGAATATACTATTGGAGGCTTTATTAGAGTACGAAATGCGCTATTAAGAAATCGAATGCGCTAAGGTACTTTGGCGGAAAGTATTGGGTAGTAGGGTTAGGGATTTTTATATGGAAAAAAGTAGATCCACGTGCAAATAGAGTTTTATCCACGTACAAATGGAGTTTCTCTTATTAAAGGGCTTATTATTTACGTCTGGGTCCTTTAAAGGAAGGCTTATTTACTTATTGAATATAAAATTATTAATATAAATAATAATTTTCAAAGGATTTAACTATTCTAATTAATTCTAAAATTCTTAAATAGCCTGTTTCTTAAATAAGTGGACGGCGTCTAAATATATATTTCCGTTATATATTAGTAAATATAATATAGAGTAAAGGAAAAAGAGAATTAAGCCCTTAATAGTTTAGAAGGAGGTAAATCGGTATTAGATTCTACGCGGTATTTCCTAAATTTAGAAAAAACGAACTATAAATAAATAAATCAGGTTAAAAGTAAATAAGTAGATTAAATATTTGATGCGGGAAACCCCGCTCAGGCCGATATGTACTATAGCGCTACGTTAACGTAGTAGGTAGTCGCTGCCTACTTGACGCAGGAGGGTATATAAGAGACCCCAGATTAACGCAAATTATCTAGGAGAACTCTCTCCTCATTATCATCATCACGAGAGTTAATCAATCAAATTATTATATTAACGCTAAATTCTATACATCAATATTAGCGTTGGATAGCTTCGAAAATCTAATTAATAGGGGGTAAGTAAGCCTCGTAATAAAGGGTAACTAAGTGGGTAATTCGCTATATAAGTAAGTAGACGTATATAATATTATTAAAAATAATTTAAATTTTATCTATTTATTCGTAAAGACTATTATTAACGAAAATATAGTCCCTGCCCTTTTTAACGTTCGAACACCGTTTAAATCCTAATTATTAAATTTTAAAATTAAAGAGGGCCTTAAGGATAATAACCGCTTTTATTACTTTAATTATTTATTTTAAGAGAGCGTTGTAATATATTTAATTAAATTTATAAATATAATTAATAATTACCTTAGTAACCGCTACCTGTTCTTCGATATATTATTTAAAATTTAGCTGTTTAATTAATTAAACCCCGAATTATTATATTACTAATTACGTAATAACGATAATATTACTATATTAAAAGGTAAAGAGGATAAGAGGGCAGCTACTCTTATAAAAGAATTATATTTCCGTTTTATTTAGTAAAAATTTAATACTGTTTTCGCCTCCCTAATTAATTATGTTATTTAATTCCGTTTGTATAATAGCTGCAATCTCCTTTAAAATCCATTTAATCGTTGGAATAATATAATTATTAATATACTTAAAATATTTAATTTCTTCTCTTAAAAATATATATAGTATTAATATAAAGGAAGTAAAAGATAAAAGAAATTAAAGATCCTTATACTAGGCTATAGAGAATTTTATTTATTAGTATTTTACTCCTTAAGTATTTAGTGTAGGCTTTCTGTAAAGATATAAAGGAAAAGACCTATTTAATTAAGAAAATTAGTTAACTTTACTCCTTTATACAAAAGATAAATTAATAGCGAAATATAATATTAAATATACCTTTCGCGTTTATAATTATTCAAATAGTTATAAATCCGTAATCGAATACATTTTTAATATTATAAAAAAGATTATTTATAATATTAATTATAAATTGTTTTAATAAGATACCAGCTATTTACAGGTAAATACCGCCGAATTAAATAACTATTTAAACGACCCTATAGGCTATTAAATGCTCTAAACTTTTACTAAAGTATAAAAGAAAGGAAATAGGCCTCTAGCCTTTAATTATAATTTAATCTTTGCCCAGCTTAAGGATAAGAATTACTTTTATATACTGAAAAGGGCGAAAATAATATCCGAAACGGAAATAATTATAATAGAGCTTATAAATTAATTCTTTTATAACTTCCCAAATAACTTTTTTTATTTTAATTATAATACTATCCATTCCGGGGGAAATACTACCTATTCCGTATAAATATTAGTAAACCTTATTAATTTTAATATTTATAAATTAGGGGAGAATCCGCTATAAGACTATTAAATATTATGGGTCTTTAATATCGTCGCCCTATAAAGAGCGTTCTAGAGGTGTTTTATATAAAGTTAGGGCCTTCTTCTATAAATTATTTATATAGATACTATCTATTACGAAAGCGGGGGCCTCTATCTAGTTCTTAAATTTATATTAATTAATAATACGAAAAATATTTTTATCGGAAGAAGTATAAGAAATAATATCCCCTTAAAAGTTGCGCTTAGTTCATTAAATAGCTTTCTTAAATTCTGTTATAGAATTCCTTTAAACGGCCGCAATTAGGAAAGGGGGTCCTACAAAAAGCTTGGAAAGCTTTAACGAATTTTTTTAACCTATAAATTCTATTATTTAATATATTTATTAGGTCGGGAAGGTCTAATTATCGTTTTAAGGGCT